ATTATATACATATAATTATATATGTGTGTGTGTGTTTGTGTTTCTCTCTCATGCTGACAATCTCAATTGAAGTCTTTGGTGGTTCAGTCATGTATGTATATTTGATTTGACAAGTTAAAAATTGTTTTCCCCCCCATTTCTTTTTCAGGAAAGTGATGGAGAAAAGAGTGACCAAGATCTTGTTGTTGATGTAAGTTTCATCTCTAAATGGTGTTGTGTTTTTGAAAAGTGGTATATATAATAAATGAAAATGGACTTATGTTCAAATACTTAAGTAAATGAACTTAAGTTTTTTATTACAACTGGACTTGAAGTTTGTGATACAGGCATCTTTAGGAGCACATGCAAAAGTGTAGAAAGAGTCCAGTATACAAATAGGTTTTTGTTGTTGATTTGATTAACTGTGTTGACCTTAGTCCCGGTACAAAGTGTTAATGAACCATGTTGGGGAAATAATCACTGTATATTGTCTCAGTGAACATAGTTACATATCTTTCAGGTTTTACAAAATGACAAGACATTGACACATGGGAATGTGTGTGGTTGGCGGGTGCTCTGGTGTGGTTTTCTTCTTCTTTCCTATCAAACGTCTATCGTCCCTATCTCCCCCCCTTCTTTTTTAAAATGTTTGTTACTCTCTTGTAACACCTCTAATTTTCTGGTGCTCATTTGACCATATGCAGTTGCGAGCACCATAAAACCTCTACTAAAAAATACAAGTGAACATTCTTTCTATTGTTTAGTAAAGAGTTACTTGCAAGAGTACTCTTTGCAGTTTCCCATTTTTAGATATTGTGGGTGAAGTTTGAGCATTGTCTTTGAAATGGCATATGTTACTCCAGTTCAAATACGTGGAAATGTCAGTGTGGCTTTTGTGTGGAGTGGCTGGAGCTACAGTGTAAGGTTGGGTGTGCCCGAGGGCTGATGCGTTTTCCCTGAACATCGTATTATTATAAGTTATGTCATGTAATGTGAGAGGGTCAGATTCAAGTCACATGTGCCATATTTCCTAGAAATTTTGATGGTGGTGTGTTGTTTGCTTCTTCTTTCCTATCAAACATTTATCTTCTTTATCTCCCCTTCTTTTTTTAAATGTTTGTTACTCTCTTGTAACTTCTCTAATCTTCGGCACTTGTATGACCTTATTGTGTTGCAAGTGCCGTAAAACACTTACTAAAACTATACATTTTCCCCAAGTCTGCAAATATCGAACTCAAGCAATCCAATTCTAAAAAATTTATTAAATTTTTTTCTTTTTTT